GTGTCTTGCACAGCACCAGGCAAGAGTTGTGAGCTGTGACAGCTGTAGGCAAAAAGTTCACCGCCTGATCCCCTGCAAGTGCCAGCTCCTTCTGTATCTGTTTTGCTCCCATGGTGATCTCGGCTTTAGAGTCTGCTTCCTCCATGCCCCTTTGATCAAAACCTTTTTCTTGAGTTTTAAGGTATGCTATCAAATGCATGTATTAGATGTAGGCATTCAGTTGAAAGACATGCTGAACACTGGCCAGTCTGAGAAAGCTTTTTTGAAGTTTTACGTGTGAATTTATCATACGCTGGCAGATTATGGTGCTTCTATAATGTCCCCTGTATACTAGGCTGGCAAACAGTTTAGAGGTGCATTAGGGTACTCCTGTGGTCCAGTTTTGCTTAGCTAAGGCAGGTGGCCGGATCCAGTTGTCACGTAGCAGTGGCACGAGTAGCAGGAGCTTCTGCAGTTTGCTGCTGTGAACAGCACGTCCCGGGCTTCCCTGCGCGTCAGTCCGTGGTGCTCACTGCAGCGTGGCCCCGGCAGGGTGTGCAGCAGGGGGCTGCGTGGCTGCTGGATGCTGGGAGAACTCCAGCTGTGCTGACCCCTTGGGATCTCCCTGTGGTGTCTTGAGAGGTGGTCACGGTTAGAATGAATAGCAGAAATAAGATACATAAACAGAAGAATATGATCATATTTTATTACTGCTAAATTTGAAAAGACCTGACTACTACTGTTCATCTGCAGTCCCAAATAGGTTTAAAATTGTTCTTTCACAGTTTTGTGATTGATATTTTGAGTACTAAATATAGATGAGTGTGCATACATGTACACAATCTACAAATCTATTAATGGTTATCCTCTGTTCTCCTCTATATGTTTTTCTTTTGCTGTCAGACAGGTGTGCAGGTACGTTAGGCCTGTGCACATGTTTCTGTTGGTAGCATCTTGTTTCTGAAGGTCAGCACATTTACTCTGATGGTGTGACAATGCTGAGGTTTGTTATGAACAAACTACATGCTAAAGAGTCTTACCCTTTGCTTTCCAAGGACCATTGCAATCACTGAAAATATGCTTTAGTAGGCTCTTAGATGTTGATTAAAAATACTGTAATTTTTCTAGATTTGCTAGATTCTTCTATGCTAATATCAAGGAGGTTTACACTGCCAGTTTATAAATACTGGCACATAAATACTGTAATATTGAGCAGCAGTTCAGTTGCTTCTATAGCCTGCAGACAGGCAGCCTCGTTTGGTGAGATTTGGAATTTAACAGGCAGATTATCAGGCCACACCTCCTCTTCTCATCAGACAGACCCTCATTTAATATAGGAGGGATTAACACAGTTAAGTTGTATTTTGAAATGGTTGTTTCAGCCCTCTATCTGATTAGGGCTGGTTTGCTGATTTAGAGGATTTTACTTTTTTTACACCCATCTCAAAGTGTATTGGCTTTAATTCTGGTGGCTGGCTACATTATAGCAGTAATAGGGATTGTGTTACACTTCCCTGTCTGTCGATAGGGAGGACTGGGCAGGAGTGTAGAGCCAGTCGTGCTTCAACTCCCTGTCTGCGAGGTAAGGCTAATCAGCTTTTGTTGAAAACAGCAGTCAGGGATTTCTTTAAATCTCCTACTTGTTTTTTAACTTCTGGTGCCAGATGCTTCAGTGCATGCAGTGCCAGGAGAAGACTTGTGCTCCCTGGATCAGTAGTGTCACTTCTGCACAAAGACATTGCAATATTACTTTTCCCCATCCAGTAATGACTCTGGTGTGGTAGCTGGGACGCCAGACATCATGCTTTCCATCTTTAGGCTGGAGTTTAGCTGATTTTGTGTTTCCCGCATCTTTCACATGTTACAACAGTTGTTCACATTTCATTATTAAACTTGAACTATCTTTTTTGGTTCAAATCCTATGCCTTAATTGCTTCTTAGCTTAGCTGCCATTCTTCTGACTGAAAAGAAACAAGATTGTCTTTCATCTAGACCCTGCCAATGTTGTTTGAGAGCCTGCAAATATCTAGCCATGTATACGTAACAGGTATTAATATAAGTAAAGAGAGGGGGAGGGAAGGGGGTGGGCAAGGGGTGTCACTTTTATAACAACAATTCTACTCTTTGGGGTAAAAACATTCTCTCTACATGTGTGTGGTTTCCTATGAAAGCCGATAACATTTTATTTTAAGAACAGAAAACACAGTTGTTGTGGATCTCCAGACTGCACAGGCTGAACATTGACTAAACTATTCTCCAAAAAGCCACTGGGGATTTATTACTCCTGATTTACAGCTGAAGAAAATGAGAAGATTGTTTAGCTGGTGGCAATACTTTCACTCTGATTGAGAACACAGATTGGATTTGAGAAATAGGAGATTCTGGGCTTTGTGCTCCTTTTCACTAGTACTACAGCTGAAATAGGCAGATTAAACCTCTTAGCTGATTAGAGTTAGATTAAAACTTTTTGGTTTGTATTATGTATCTGTGCTGTTCAGAGATGTCAGTGAGGAATCACAAAATGTGTAGATTACATTCAGGTGTTTTGTTGGAGTGTGTTTCTGCAGCTATGCAGGATGCAATGCAAAATGGTTTCTTCACAGTTTCTTCAGCAGGTTGCACTGAAGGTTATGGTGCTGGGTTAATAGTTGACTTGTGTCCTCAAACCTGTAGCAGCCCACTGTGTAACTGTAGGGAAGTAATTTCCTTGCTCACTACCTGACTTGTTCTATCAGTAAAATGTGAAGAATGATGGTTAGTACCTATGCTGTGTCTTCTGAGACCTGTTAAAGACTTGAAGAAATTGCAGAAGACGAGGTTATTAGTAGAGAGTAGAAAGGGAAATTTGCTGAAAACCCAGTGAAAATAGCAAATGTTGACAAAAGTTAGTTAGCAAAAGATAATTTGCACTTTAAAAAGCTAGTTATGTTTGCATAAATATGTGTATATGTGCACACACATGAAATACATATACCATGAGTATATAAAGAGATGCGTTGTTTTCCCCATTTTCGGCAGTTTTAAAGTTTCAGCACGTCATGCCTCGGCAAACTAATGGTATTTGCTTGCAATCTGTTTGCAAGTGAAGTAATAGATTTGAGTCTTTGCCTGTGTAGGACCTCCTTGGAATTTGAAGAACTTGGAAAACTCACTTGTAGTGTTTAATATCATTTGAACAGGTTTTCATATTGGGTTTTGATTTCAACAGAAGCTGAGAGGGATTGGGTTGGGGAGGTGAGCATTCACCCAGTGTGATACAGAAATGAGCTAATCTGTATCTTCTGAGCCACTGCTGGGCCCTTGATCCCTTTTGCTAGCCAGCATAAGATTCATACACATTAGTATGGATCACAGACTTGCACAGCATTTTGTTCTTCCCCTGTTAATTTCATTTATTATTACTTTATGCAGTGGTAGCATGCACAAATCATCTACACTTGCACCATGTTGTGGTAGACATTGTACAGCATAAATGGTACAGGTAAATGGCAGCATCTGCTTCTAAGAGACTTTACCCTGAACACCACCCACCCCCCCCCAAGATCCTGCAAACGTACTGCATTTATGTAAATACCTCTAATACCAGGCAGAAATTTGTAAATGTCCTGTGTTGCTCTGATTACTGTATAATTTACTACACAAATATATACTTCTACTCAATCATAAATTTCCTATATGATTATATGCTTTCAGTTTCCTTTAGAGCAAAACAAAAAGATTAGATTAGCATAAACCAGTTCCAGCAAAACCTTGAGAGAGAATGTGGGGTTGGAAAAGACCTTTATGTATGCAAAACAATAAGAAGTTTGAAAGGCATATATCTGGAAAAAGAGGGGTTGATTGGAGGATTGACCACTTGGCCGGTCTTCATCCCTTATTGTAAGTTTATAACTTCTAACACTTTAAAAGTTCCTATCACCCATGTTATTAAAATAAACTTTTCCTCAAGTTTGCACTTGATAATATTTTTTGTGAAGGTGTTTGTGGTGACAGTCACAAAAGAATCATGGTTGTTGGAATTCACTGTGAAGCATGAAATAGTGGATACTATAGGTGACAGCTTTGCCTTAAAGCAGGCAAATACAGATTTCTGTCCTAGGAGATAAGTAAAGACAGAGTACCTGGAGAAGCCAAAATGGAGATAAATTGTTAGCCCTGTAACTGTTAGAAAGCTGTAACTATAAAAATATGCCCACAAAACAATTGGTTCCATGTCAGTCCACTGACCTGCTGATTGCATGCAATGGCACCTCTCTTCACTTCTGCACGTGCAGTCACTCGTAGATACATTCATGGAATTCTGCTAAAAAAAAATCTGAAATGTAATGATCTTAAAACAGAGAGGATGTCTTTATGTGGGGGTAGATGATTTTATGCTGTTTATTGCACATTAATATTTGGTGTTGGTCTAGAAATAAATTATATTGGGTAAAGGTCAACTTTACACAACTGAATCTCATGTGTATACACAGTTCAGGCTATATATATTTTGTTCTCACCAGTGCAGTTCATCATAATGTGCTCACAATCAGAAAAGGAGGAAAAAAACTCTTAGTACTATAACTCTAGCTGTTTGGGTTTTCATATGTGATGCATAGATGTCACATTTTTTGTAAATGTGTTGTACTTGGGACTATCATGTAGCTCAGTTGGTACATCTCCAAACTCATTCCATAGTATGTATGCTTTAGCAAGTATTACACAAATGCAGATTCCACATAATTTGAAGAAGTCTTTCATATCCACAAATGGATATGAAAGTTTGGCAAAGACAAGCCCAAGCAGCCCATATGTGTTAGTTTTGGGGTGCAATTTTTTTTTTTTTTTTATCTAAGGTAACTTCAAGGGGAAGGAAAGGTGATTTGGAGTAAAGGAGGAAACCATGTAAATTTTGAGGGTTTAAAAAGAACCTAAAACTTAGAGTGTGCATTATTTTAAATCATTTGTAGACGAGTGGGGTTTAGCTGCCACATTTTACTGTTTGACACTAGTACTTAAAGACTTTTGTGCTTTCTGTGCAGGTATATGTCTCGAGTACATGGTATGCATCCAAAAGAAACCACACGTCAGCTGAGTTTAGCAGTCAAGGATGGTCTGATTGTTGAAACCCTGACGGTGGGGTGTAAAGGGTCAAAAGCTGGTATTGAACAAGAAGGATATTGGTTACCAGGAGATGAGATTGTGAGTATAAAGTCTTTGAGAAAATACATCACAGTTTCTGGTATCTAAGCATGGAACTTGTTTTAATTTCTGGTTAAAGTTATTTATAAATGCTTTGTTGGTGCTTGTGAACAGGGAAGTAATGCACTTTTAAACTTTTTTAACCTTTTCTATTCCATAGAAACTTTCTTCTCCAACTCCGAGTTATCTGCTATGAAATGCTGGTAAAGTCCTTTGCTCAGTCATGCCTCACTTTTATGTAGTGTTCTCTTCTACAGCTATACAGGAAGACAGTAAATATTATTGGTATTACTTGAAATCCTCAGATGTCTTCAAATCACAAAGTTGTTACCTTTAAAAGAAAAAAAAAATACAAGAACTTTTATTAATCTTCTTTAATGTAAATCTGAGGAAGGAAGAACTCCTTCCTTTCAAAAGTGCAACAAGAAGTTATACATTTATGTATTAACACACATGAAAAGATGTGTTTTACAGATATCTGTGCACACCAGGGCATTCAGTTAGGAAGGATTTTCTTAGCAAATTAGTTACAGGCATCCAGACATTTTTTCACTGGATGCATAAAATAAAAATGTAGGTGGAGTTAAACAGGTTGAAAGTTATGTGAAGGGGAAAAAAAGTTTATTTTTTCTGTCCCTCAATAGGTGAGAAGGAATGCAAAGTTAACTGAGAATAGTCCTGTAGACTAGGAGAAAGCTTGCACAATTGCTTTGCCTTGCTCAGAAGTGCTGTTTCTGAGCTTGCAAGACCACATTTTCACACTTCGAAAAAAAGAGTTTGGCAAAGCTTTAAAACACCTGAACTAGGAACTGTTGCTTTGGAATATAAATTGCATTAAATGGTGGTAAAATGGACGGCATTGTCTCAGACATGGAGAATAATTTACATTTTGAGGAAAACAAGAAAAACTCTATAGGAAAATAAGTTCTAAAACCCACCAAAATACTCATTGCCTTATTGCAGGCATCAGTAGGATGCTGAAAGTGAAACAACAGATGATTTTTTTTTTTTTTTTTTTAAAGTGAAAGAGACAAGCAGTAGCCATAACAGAAAACATTAGGGTTAAAGTTATCCAAATAATCCTAATTGAAAGTATTGAGATATGTATTTAATGAACATTTTGTCACTGTTAAGATTTTTATTCTAATTTTGTTAGAAACCCTCAAGGGAGCCTTTAAAGTGTATGTAGCTTTGTTTTCACTACTCTCCCTGGGAGTAAACTTTCAAAATTCCAGCTTAGCTCTTTTAGGTATTTCTTCTGTAAGTTTTATCTGTTTAGGAGTGATGGTAACTGTGTAGACACAACATGACATAAAGTCTGAGATCCCTAGTTATCTCAAATATTCAGTATGTTTGTTTCCTCTATTGCTAAGAGGAAAAAAAAAAAAAGTCAGAATGCCTCACAATAGCCATTTCTTAAACAGCAGTTCAAAAAATGTTCCTGCTACTTATTAGCAACATTTGTCTGACAAAGCTTGTAAGATAACTAGCATGTGAATTCCCAGTGAGTCATTAGAATGACGTAATTATTTTATCCCAGAATGAAGACTTGTCTTTCGACTTGACCCAAGATGCTGCTTAAGTCACATTATGAATAGCCCTGTGCTATTAAGTATTGACTATTTTCAGCATGACTGCTGATCACTGATGCATTGTGCTGTGTCCATATGTCTGATGACCATCTCTGTTGTTCAGAACACCAGTGCACAGCTGACTTAACAGTTTTATGCAAGAATAGCAGTCAGCTTCTGATCCAGGCTATGTTTCAACAGTCCCAAACCTCCAGCTTCTTCATCCTAGTACTGAATTGAAATGCTGCAAGACAGGTGAAGCAAAACACATTGACTTGATATAAAATAATTATCTTTGTTCTTTTATTAAAAAAAAAAAATTAATGAGTAACAAAGTGTCACTGTCATCACTTGACATAAGATCAGGTACTTTCTGTGCTTCAACAGCTGATTCAAAGCCATGAAGTTGGGCGTGCTCCCTGCGCTGGGCACATTGGATAGTTGTACAGATGCCTTGTCAGCACTTGATCAAGATGCAGTTTGCAGTTCTTTGTAATGCAGCACTGCTCAGATCTGGTACTCATGACTGTTGAATCATGAGCTCATGTTACGTTTCAGTGAAGACAAACTTAAGGAAGCCTTTTCAGAGGTTCACTTGTAGGGGAGGTTGGACTCTATGAAATAGAGCTATTAGTGTTAGAACAGGGGTTACAGGTTCGTCAGACTTCAGCACTTAAGAGATAGCCCCTTGACGCAATTGTCAAACTCAGTATGACTGGTACTACAGGAATTTGGAAAGCCCATCATGTGAAAGAGGCTTGAGAACTGATCCACCACCTATTGACGTCACTACAAGAACGCCCTTGGATTTTAGCTTGCTTTCTGACACCGCAGTAGAAGTCAGTAAGGACCAACTGTTTCAAGGAGTTAGCAAAGGGAGACATTCCTTTGCACATGTCCCATCTCCCATTTTTGAAGTTTTGGATTTAAATCTTAGCATTTTAAATCCATAGTCAAATAAATAAATAACTGGCCTGGGCCACAGAACTGGTGCACACCTCTATCTGTTACTTATATAAAAGCCTGACTAGAGACCTGAAAGTGCTGGGTTTAATGATGACTGTGGACTGATTGCTAAATGATAACAATAATTAAAAGTGTAGAGATTATGAAAACACAGCTCTATTTGGAAAAGTTTCACTGGATAATCTGTGGTGCTTACTTACATGTTTCCAAACATTTGCTCTATCCAATATGTTGACATAATGATAGATCTATGCAGTAAGGACACGATCTCTGATAGGTTTATTCTTAGCCTTCAGAGGACTGTGTTTAAAAAAATCATACTACTTTGCCATCATCTTTTATCAGTGTGTTGAAGCTGTGGTAAAAAAAAATGAAGCAAAATCTCATATATTTAGAGATACCATATAGATGAACAAGCTGAGATGCAAAGACAAAACAGTTTGAGGGCATCAGGAGAGCCTTCAAAATGGGCCAACTGATGTGAAAATTAATCTTCTGATAAACTGGGAAAAAGAATGATCAGATTTAAAAGAGTTCTCTTTTTCTCTCAGATACTTATAGAAGTATTTTTATATAAGTTACTAATTTTAAAATATGGTGTCAGTTATCAAATATACTGTATTCCAACTGATAAATTTAAGTGTTGGTACCTATGCAAGAACTTTGCTGGAATTGTGACCCTCTGGAGTTTGTGCAGGTGTTGTGTTTGTTTGCTCATTTGCCATCTATACAAATGTTTTGCACATTTTGAAAATGTGTTCTCATCTTACAGGCTTCCTCATCTCGCAGGTGATTAATGCATTTGACACACAATAAACAAGAGAAGTTATTTTCCATTGTTATCCAGGAATCTGGTTAGGAATTCTATATTTTCACTGTTTATCGATGCCATTATTATGCAATTGAACAAAATCTCTGCAGCTTCTTTTCTTGAAAGGGAAATGTCAGTCCTGAAGTCTGGCAATGGAAGTTTACTTTTTCTTTCTAAAAGCATTATTTCTATTTCTCACAGAACTTGTGGAATTTGGAACTGTTGTTTAATATCATCATAAAAGAAATTATCTCCTTGCTCTTTGGGTTTAGAAAAAAATTTGCAAATCAATGTTGTTAACTATGTTTTCAGTGCAGTCAATAAAATAGAAGGGAATTGTAGATCTTGAAGAGAAGAATTATGAATCTTCTTACCTATTCATTACAATTTTCAGTTATGCCATGATTTTTATATACTTTCTGTGTAAAATAGTGCTCAGTCTAATCCCAATGAAAGAAATCAAATTAAACCACTAATGTAATATAGCTTTATAGGGGGTTAGATACAGTTCTTAGAGTTACTTTGTCTTACTCATTTACATATTTCTGATTTTTCTACAGACAGTGTGCATGGAGCTATTTTGAGCATTTAATGTGCTAATTCTTCTCCTCATGATTAAAGTCATAAAAATGCACTGACCCAGAGAGAGTCATTATGAATGTGTAATTTCAATTTACATGTGTTCATAGAGTCAAACAATATTGTGCTCTTCTAAATGAAGATGTGTGAGTAACACGGGTTCATTGTTTGCATGTGAATTCAACATATCTTGTAGCACTGCTGTGGTTTAAAGTTAGTTCCTGTGGCCAAATTCTCTAATGAGATGTGCAGAGTAAGACACTTAGCTAAGACACTTGCAGCTGTTTCTTTACTGAGAAAATACATACATAGTGATTAAGTTTTCAAGAAGTTACTCTTACGGAGTTCTATTTTCTGATAATTTAACTGAGTGCTTGTGGAAAGAGCCAGGAACTCTTCTAGCTAGTTAAGTCTGACTTTGGGGTTTAGTTATGGGGTTTTGCTCTGTATTTGGTCCTCTCCAGATCTAAATTATTGCCTCTCCAATTCTTCCCTCTGAAGATTTTTTAGTTTAGTGGAGAGCATGCTGTTTGGAGGGTCAGCTTGCTTGCTTTCCTGCTTTCAGAAAACATTAGGAGTAGAATTTGCTTTTTCCCAACACAGCCATATATTCATAACCAGCTGACTCATTACTGTGGAATTTCTGATATTTTATATGTAGAAAGTACTGGTGCTTGCTTAAAGTGACAGCAGATTCAAAGTGACTTCAAGTCTCAAGGCTGCCTAAATAATCCATCTATTCACTCTGTCTGCTTTCCCATCATTTTAACATTTGTTGTAGCCCACTGCCAGCACTGTGAGTTTTGAAGGTGATTTTGTTAACCCTAGCGACGTTAGGTATACATTTGGTGATTATTGTTATTTGATGTATTGCAGGTTCAATTTTGCTAGGATCAATTTATGAGAAAGGACCATTTTGGCTGTTAGGTTTGTGTTAATCTAAATTGCTTTAGACTGAGCAAAGGCTGGGTTCCTTACTTGCCATGCTTAATTGCTTTTGTAATTATATTGATTTTTCCATGCTAGGTTAGTATTGGTAGCCAGAAGCTGTTTTTTGAACTGACTATGTCATC